AGTTTTAAACCCCAGATACATTTTATTTATCTCCTTTTCCTTTCCTCCATTATTTGCTTTGTGTTTGGCTGCATCACCTTTGGCCATGACTGAACGAGACGTAGCGACACATGTGGTTTGATGAGGAAATGCTGGGGGGGGGAGATTTCAGGAGACGGCTGCTGTATTTTTCTCACTGCCTCTGTGTACGGGTAATTACTCCCCCCCCTCCGTGAGATCCAGTTGGAACCAGAAATTTCTGGCCAGTGCTGGCTGCCTGCCCACTCCCACAGGCCAGGCTCCATCGGCAGCATTTCCGGGAGCGTCTGAGCGCAGGAGAAAGTGAGAAGGAAATAAACAGCAGAGGGGCTGGAAAGCTGAGACAGACATGGGAATTGTTTGAGAGTGCACGAGGCAGACGTGAAATTGCAGATCACGCAACTCTTGTTTATTTATTTTTGCAGGCACTACCAGATTCATTTCATAAATATGAAATGAGGAGGAAAGAGTGGTTTTCTTTCTGCTCAGCTGAAAAACTGTTTTAAAAATTAACAGCATTAACAGGTCACATTGCAACAGCTTTCAGATCATTTTGTTTTCTCCACACATTTATTATAAAATGTGTGTGGAGCTTTGCCTTTCCTCGATCTTAATCTACCTGTAACATTTGGTGCCATTTAAAAAAAAAAAAAAAAAAAATTATGGCACTTCTGAATTACCTTCTTAAGAATGCAGCACGAACCTTCGAGAACCCAAATAAATCTTAGATCATTATGAAAACCAGTTAAATTAATCTAAAATGCTGATTTTATCGAGGTAAAACACAACAGTGTTCCCCTTTGATAGGGCACTCATTTCTTGAAGGCACCAAGAACAAAAAGTCTTTTGTTCATCCTTTTTATATCAGAAATAAAAGCATCATTTAAATCTGCATTCCTCTTTTGCTACAGTGACTCAAGCAGTAGCTCAAGCGATGACTCTCCAGCACGTTCAGTGCAGTCCGCTGCTGTTCCTGCACCGTCAGCTCTTGGTTTATCCTCCTTTGACAAGGATGAACAGCGTAAAAGTTTTGGCATCAAGGTCAAAAATCTTCCTGTGCGCTCGACAGGTACTATAATCCTGAAAACGTTCTCTTTTATTCAGAAACGGGGATGCACATTTAGAATAATCACCAGAAATTAATTCAATAACTCATCTTCACTTGTTTTTCCTTTGGTGTTCTTTCTATAGATACAAGCCTAAAGGATGGTTTGTTTCATGAATTTAAGAAACATGGAAAAGTTACATCGGTACAAATTCACGGAGCTTCAGAGGAGCGCTACGGGCTTGTCTTTTTCCGCCAAGAAGAAGACCAAGAAAAGGCGCTTGGAGCATCAAAGGGGAAGCTTTTTTTTGGAATGCAAATCGATGTCACCACCTGGAACGGTCCTGGTGAGTTCTCATTTTCAACTGTGCAGTAGAGACTATTATCAGATCAGCATGCTCATACCACTTCGTGTTTCAGAGACGGGAAGTGAAAATGAGTTTCGACCCTTGGATGACAGGATCGATGAGTTTCACCCAAAAGCTACACGAACGTTATTCATAGGTAACTTGGAGAAGACCACTACTTATCATGATTTGCTTAACATCTTTCAACGCTTTGGAGAAATTGTGGTAAGCTATTATTTTTATGTGGTTTAGAATCTGACTAGCTGGTTAAATAGTTGACGATTACGTCAATAATCACCAAATGTTTTTTCCTCAATTATTTGTTCCGTCAAGGATATTGACATAAAGAAGGTAAACGGAGCCCCACAGTATGCTTTTCTGCAATACTGTGACATTTCCAGTGTCTGCAAGGCCATAAAGAAGATGGATGGCGAGTATCTTGGTAACAACAGACTAAAGGTGAGACTTATTTCAACCTCATTTTCAATCTTACATTACACTACTACTCCATTCTTCCTTGTCTAAAATATACATTGCATAATTTATGATGGTATATATATTCAAAGAATGAGAACCTGCTGATGTTTTTATTTTATTTTATGTATTTTCAGCTGGGTTTTGGAAAGAGTATGCCTACAACATGTGTTTGGTTGGATGGTCTAGTGTCAAGCACAACAGAGCAGTTTCTTACTCGCCGTTTTTGCCGCTATGGACATGTTGTCAAGGTAAGCTTGTTTATTTTTCTCCCAACAGTGGCCCATTGTTACTTTCCAAAATCTAAGGAGTCTCCCTTCCTTTTCTCTTGTGGCTCACAGGTTGTATTTGACCGGATGAAAGGAACTGCCCTTGTCCTTTATAACAACATTGAATATGCGCAAGCCGCAGTGAAAGACACAAAAGGATGGAAAATAAGGGGCAGTAAAATTAAGGCAAGTAAAATATGGTTTTACTCTGAAGTCATTCTGGACTTTCAACCATGATTTTAATGTTGTTTTTTTTTCCTCTTCAGGTGGACTTCGCAAATCAGGAAAGTCAGATGTCTTTTTATCGCTCAATGCAGGCATCAGGACAAGATATACGAGACTTTTTCGACTTTCTTTCTGAAAGAAGGTTTGTGAACTTTTTTTCTTCACAAATTGTTTTTACCTCTGTCCTGTTCAGTGCTTAACACTAAAATGATTTGGCTTTTTTTCTTTGCAGAGAGGATCGACGAACTCAATATGAATTTCCAACAGAAAGACCATATTGTGAGAATGTGCGAACACCTGGAACATATAATGAAGATCCAAGACGTAAATACCCTGCAAGGAGTCGAGAGTTTTACGCTGACTGGGACCCATATCAAGGAGATTACTATGATTCACAGTACTTTGATGAACCTCGTGAATATCGGGAATACAGAGCTGATCCTTATGAGCAGGACATTCGCAAATACAGCTATCTGCAACGGGAACGTGAACGAGAAAGGGAACGCTTTGAAACAGATCGTGGACGTGATCACGGAAGGAGGACTGTTGAGCGTAGCCAGAGTCCTTCTCACGTTTCCACTCGTCGTCCCGTCAGTCCCACGGCATCTCCCTCGCTTTCTGAGAGGGTACCAAGTGATTCTGATCGTCGCATTTGTTGCCGGTCCTCTGAAAGAAGTGGGAGCTGCAGTTCAGTCTCTCCATCCAGGCTTGAAAAACTGGAAAAGGCCCACTCTGAAAGATATAATAAAACTGAAAAACTTGAGAAAGATAGAAGTTTTGAAATTGTAAAAGGAAATCTGGTGGAAAAGGATAAACGAGCTGGGCGAAAGGATCGAGGGGACAAAGACAAAAGTGAGAAACAACGGCTTAAGAAGCTTAAAGTCACCTCACCTACACTCCAGACATGTGAAACGGAGCCTGAACTTGAAAGAGATATTAGCCCGGAGTCTATTCATCGAATTAAGACCAGTAAAATTCTAAAGGACGTCTCCAGCAAAGGAAGGTTGGACCTTCTGCCTTGTGTGGTGCAGTTAACACGAGTTAAAGAAAAAGAAGGAAAATTGCTTGGTCACGGTGTTCAAGAAAAACAAGTACAGAGAGCAGGGAGTAACAGTCCTAGACTGGCATCACCTACAGCTGACCAGAGAAGTCCTCTCTTCCACTCTGAATCATCAAAAGCTGACAAGCATGTGAAGGCACCCAGAGACAAAAATATGCACAGTCAAGTGGAAATTATTGAAAAAGACGTAAAAGTAAAATCCAAAAAGCATGCGAAATCTGAAATTGACTTTGACAATACCGTTTCTGTGAATGTTGACCGTTTAGCTGCAAGAAAAAGACGTTTTGAAGAATCTGGGAGAACAGATCGACAAAAGAGAGCGAATGAAGAGGAGTCCGGCAGATCTGGACTTTACATGCTGTGGAACAATACAAAGGAGACAGATTCGGAAAAGAACCTTCTGATACGAGGATTACATAAAAGACACCACAAAGACAAATGTGTTCGCATAATTTCTGTTAATAATCCTAAAGATGACGGACACTCGGAAAACAATTCTGTAGGCCTTCCTCTAGAGGAGCAATGTCATCTTGAACATTCCACAACACAGATGGACTCTCCTTTTTATAAAATGGAGCTGGACGGCTCAAAAAGTGCAAACGACTTAAATCTTACAAAGACATCAGATACCAGCAGGCTTGATACGGATGAACTGAAAGAACAAAAACAAGTTTTGTCTGAAAATGTACATGTGAGAGCCAAGTGCAGAGATCCTGATGGAGATGAACATTTTGTTGGAACTGACCAGACTAATATTTGTACTAAAACTGAACAGAGTCGATGGCTCCGGTCCAAGCTTGCTGATCGTGATAAATTAGTCAAATCCACAAGCATTGGTGCCGCTGATTTAGAAAAGGAATATATTGTGCATGATATTGGAAAATCAATTCACGATGTAGTCAGTGATAACTTCTCTTCTAGTAAACGGAAAAAAATGGAGAGTTTTGACTTTGACATACACAGAGTAAAACAAGAAGGTGACTTTGCAAGTGCCCAAAAGATGAATGAAAACATCTACAATATACCATCTACCATAGGAGCTGGTCAGTTTTCTGAAAATGAGGATGATGACACAGTTCGGATTTCTTCATCAGTCTTAAAGAAAGAAAGAAAATTCTCTCCAGCAATGGAAGAAAAGTTTTCACCCACAGAATCGTTAAAAAATAGTTTGGGCATTACATCCAAACATTTTCAGTCTTGTAATAGTAAACTTCCTAAGCTTAAAGCGTCCTTGCTTAGATTTGATGATGAGTTAATGCAACACTGGGAAAGACGGATAAAGTCTGGCTCTCCTAGAATGGAAATCAATTTTTCAAGTGGTATTTCAAGACGTGAAAGAATTCGTAAACACCTTAGCCAGGATTTGGAACCTGGAGAGGTGCAGTCTGATTCAGATGATGATGGAGAAACCAAACACACCTCTCCCAAGTCAAGTAGTTCCTTGTCTTTTATCCTCAGGGATAGGGATGAGAGGATGGCAGACTTCAAGCTTTCAAGCTCCTTGGAGAAAAATAAGTTTTACTCATTCGCTTTAGACAAAACAATAACTCCTGATACAAAAGCACTCCTTGAAAGAGCTAAGACTTTGTATTCCTCACGGGAAGATAATTGGTCTTTTCTTCCCTCACGCTTTCCAGTCTCCCACAGTTGTTCAGGCAAGGACAAAGCAGAGCTAGCACCCCGACCTATTCCTTCTTGGTATTTGAAAAAGAAAAAGATCCGTACTGACTCTGTTGAAAAGTTGCACGATAAAAAGGAAGAACTCAAGTCGCAGGAGCAAGAACGCCAGGAATTATTTGCCTCTCGTTTTTTGCACAGCTCAATCTTTGAACAGGATTCAAGGCGACTGCAGCGTCTTGAGCAAAAAGACCAAGATTTAGAAACTGAAAGTAACAGGCCTTTTACTAAATCAAGTGCTACTGATGCACATTCTGAATCTGGAGGAACTGACTTTCCGCAAGAAACCACAGTGCTTTTTCATAGTCGGTTTTTGGAGTTTCAACAACAAAAAGACAAGGACCACACCCCAACTGAGGCAGAGAATGATCCAGTGGTGGTGGAAATTAAAAAAGCTGAAATTATAAACTGTGATAATGCGTTGTCTGATAAGGAGCCAGAGCCAATGTTAAAGGGTAATGACAAATCTGCCAGCCCTCCATCACCAGTTTTATCATTTACTCCTTCCTCCAAAGAAATATCTTTACCAGAAAAGAAGGAAGTTTTAACCCCATCCCCAAATCAGTCTGTGTCGTTTGTCAAAGATGAAAAAGTAGAGCCCATTGTTGAAATTTCCGCATCCCATTCTCTTCCTATAGAAGATTTCAAACCAGCTGCCCCTAAAGTAACCGTAACCCCTACACCTACAGTTTCAGAAGCAGAAATTAAAACTGAAATCAAAGCAGAGGTAATTGAGCCCCAAACCAAATTCGATGATAGTTTAACAGCGGAAGAACATACTCTTGTTGTGGAAGATCAGCTTCCCACTTCTTGTGGTTCCGTAAGTGGCTTTAAAAAAGAGACAGTCAAATTAGCTGACGCTGATTGTTCAAAAGTTGAAGAAAAGTCTGACGTGTCTGAAGTGATAACGACAGATCCTAGAGTTGAAAATCAGGAAATTGAACTTTCTGAGGAACCACAGAAAACGGAAACGGATAGTGAGCCATGTATGCCAGAACTAGAGGCTGAAGTAAAACCACTGCCCACCCGAAGGCAGCCGAAGGGCAGGAGGGCAAAACCCCTGTCTGTACTGCGTACTGCGCAACCAGCTCGCAGTGTCAGTACCAAAAAACCTGCAACACGAAAGAGTGAACGAATTGACAAGGAAAAACTCAAAAAGACATCGTCTCTTCAGGAAGAGGCACCTAAACTAATGCTTGAGTCTAAAACCACATCTAAGTCTCCAATACATGCATCAGATTCAGAACAAAACCTTGAGTCAAGTTTAATTCATGGAAGAACACGTCGCAGGAATGTGAGGTCAGTCTATGCCACTCTACACGAAGATGAACAAGCTGGAAAAGAAACGGCAGAGTCATCTCGCTGCACGCGAAAACGGGGTGCTGATAAAGACCAAATACATCAAGATGTTCAAATTTCTACTAGTGCCAGGCGAGGGCGCCCCCCTAAAAGACGGGTTAAACGAGTTGAAGATATAGATCAAAAGAAAATAACTGAAGTGGATACAGAGGTTAAAGAATCGTCAAGCATTGTCGAAGTTGTGAAAGCCTCTGAGGGATGGCGTTCACCCCGTACACAAAAACTCCAGCAAACACCTTTGACTTCCTCTACTCCAATAAACAAAAAAGGAAGTAGAATGAATAAGTTGTCTAGAAGCAAATTAACGTTAGCCAATCAACCTGATTTAACAAATAATGACGAGTCAGACCTTAAGCCTAAAGCCAGCTCTGAACCACCTGGTAAATCATTAGATACATCAGAAAATGCAAGCTCAGGAGTACCCAGAACAGAAAAAGATTCAGACGAAAACATATCTGTGGATGCTAATATTGAAAATAAAAAGCCAAACTCTTCTGAGAAGCAACAACTGAATGCAAAAAGTATTAAAGTTAAATCACCACGGCTGAAACGGAATACTAAGCAAGTCACGGAAGACAAATCCCACAGTTTAAAAAATCTAGAAATTCGAGTTAGCGTTGATGATGTGAAGGGTTTACTCTGTTCTGAAGATGTTGAGTCTGAGAGTTTTGAAGTTAATACTATTACCAAAACAAAGATAGCAGTACAAGAGAATGAGGAAACACCGATGACAGACTTTCAAAAAGATAATAAAGAGCTTAGTTCAATGGAAAACGAAGACACATTGTCAGAATCTGAACTTCCTGCTCATCCAACGGCTGTACTTTTAGCACGACAGATGGAACTAGAGCAGGCAGTTGAAAATATCGCCAAACTTACAGCTGACCAACCTCCCCGACCTTATAAAGAACCACCTACTGGTCAACCTACTGCATTGCCCCCTGTCATTGTAGAACCAGAAGGTGAGGTTGAGGAGGAAAAGCGAGCTAATCCTGCAAGTGAAACTGAACTTGCAGCTGCTATTGATTCTATTACAGCTGAAGAAATCTGTGGGGATGCAGATGGATTCACAGCTCCTCCTACTTACACTGCCCTTGTTCCTACTCCTGAATCTGTTATCTCTTCCTCTTCAAATGATATTATGGAACCTGAAACACATATGGTGATCAATAATATTATTGCAGGAAATTTAGATGATGACTCTCAAACTAGTCCAAAAAGGTCAATGACAGAATCTAAAGCAGCTGATGATACTATTCCACTTGTTGCACCTAAGAAAATCATCAAAGTTACAGCCAAAACCCCAAAGAAGTCAAGAAATCGTAAAGGTGCCACTAATAAAAAAGCAAATACGGACGAGGAGCCCTCTCAATCTGAGCCCTCTTCAGTAAAATTTCCAGAGTCAATCCCAGACGATCCGGAAACCACAGATTCAAAAGCAGCTACTGTTATAGCTGGAGTAAGTGCGGTAACTTCTGTTGTTACTGCTGTTGCAACTTGTAGACGTGATGTTACAAGTGCTATAACTGTAGACAACCCCAAAGAGGCAGAACAGCCTGAGGTTGAACAGCCTGTACCCAAAGAATCTGCTTTTCATTCTAGATCAAACAACAACTCTATGTCTAAAAAGCATCCACAAGCAGCAGAGCCAAGAACTCCTACCATCATCCCTGCTCACCCATCACCAGTTTCCCAAATCAGTGTACCCCTCCTCCGACCTGCCAAAATGGCACTGTCGTCTGACTGGCCTCAGCGAACTGAAGAAAGCAGGATCTATGTTAATCCTTCATGTCATATCACAGTGGTAACTTCCACCCTAACTACATCATCTACTCTTGGAACTTCTTCAGCAAATCCCCCAATGCCTCCTGACACCAAGGCTTCTGATATTGACCCCAGTTCTAGTACCTTGAGAAAAATTTTAATGGAGCCCAAATATGTGTCTGCATCAAACAGCAATTCTATACCTAGCACTATAGTCACATCTGCCCTGTCAGATCTTCCACGAACATCAGAGAATGATAATCCTGCTGATACTTGTGGTTCAAGACGGTTGCTTCCTGAACAGCGCCCACCATTACCACTCCAACCTATGCACCATAAACCATCTCCACTAACAGAATCCCAACAAAACTGTGGAGATAAAATACAGCATGCAGTTATTTCTCCTACTACCTCAGTAATAAGTAGAATTCCAATGCCTTATGATACAGAAGAAACTCCAAGAATTTCTCTAAGCAACCGATGCATTGGCCCACCCATTTCAAAGCAGAAGTTTAGATCAAACTACAATGAGAACAGCCGCTGCCATGGCGTGGATCTAGTAGAAGATGTTACCAGGGGGCGCTCAGTTCTTGAACCCACTCCTTACCATTCAGGTTCTAGTCCTGGCCTAAGGGTTAATACGTCAGAGGGTGTTGTTGTTCTGAGTTATTCTGGTCAGAAAACTGAAGGACCGCACAGAATGAGAGCCAAAATTAGTCAGATTCCTCAAGCAAGTGCTGGTGATATAGAGTTTCAGCAGTCTGTGCCCAAATCTCAGATTAAACAAGAGCCACTCTACTCATCATCCCAGTCACCTACTCCAAAAGTTGTTCCAAGTCCTACTGGTTATGGGCACACAGGTGTTCTTTTGACCAGTCAGTCCTATAGTTCTCAGCCGGTAATTTCAAGTCTTACACAAGAAGGTCTTGGATGTGATAAGTCTGAAGCTCCCTATCATACATCATCTCAGAGTGTGGTAAAGATGTTCCAGCCACCAGTTAGTTCCCCTCAAGTTTTGATGTATAATCAGGCTGTGATTCAACAACACAGCAGGAGAGGACTAGTGACAGACCTGTTGCCAAAAAAGATGGACATTGGCAAACCTGTACAGCAGTCTAACCTAAGTCCAGTTATGAGTCCACACCACCCATCAATATCGGGAACCCGCATGAGTCCTAGTCCTGGCATCACCAACGATCGGTCAACTCTACACCTCAAGCAGGAACCCCAGTCCTCACGAATAGCTGGCCATTCTTCTTTACCTTTTGTCAAAGCCTGTCCACAAAGCAGCTCTCCCATTGGAACTTCTGTTGTTCTTAGTCATGGTATTCCTTCAATGTCTACATACCATTCTAACATGCATCACCCACACTCAGAACAGTCCTCTGTCATAATTCAACCTCACAGTGTCACTCAGTCAATGGCTCACAAAGCCAGAATGAATAACTCACCTATAACTGGATTAAATTATGGAAGGAGAGGGGACTCCTTGTCTTCTCCACATCAAGGGCCTGCAAAGTGCACAAACACACCACAGCACAATGTCATTCGAGATATTGTATTACAGTCTCATTCGAGTCCAAAAGCATCAATATCAGGTGGTGGTAGCAACAGTGTAAGTGAAGAAGAACCCAAGCACTTTAATCATTCTCTTGGAAGACCTTCAGTTACCCATCTCCAGGCAGATATAAGGATGGTTCACAGTGATCCCAGAGGGCTTCATCCAAACATACGTATGGATCAGTACAGAGACATGCACCAGCGCATACTCATGCACCAGCAACTAGGGGAGCAGGCCTCTTTGGAAGCAAGACGCAACTCAGAGTCTCAAGCAACATCTTCAAGCAACATTTCTTTACCTGCAAAAAGTTCTTTACTGGGAAAAAATGTTGAGCATTCAGCAAACGAGTCTCTAAAACCACTTGAGGGAAAGGTAGTGCATCCAAGCTCAGGTGAAAGTAGAATCAAAGGAGTCTCTGCATCGAGTCCCATTATGAGGTCTTCTCACCCTCATGGGATTCAGCTCATGCATCCAGGAGGAGCAGGCTCTTTCCCGGTGTATCGAGACATGAGGGGTTTCTCGTCACAGTTTCCAGGACACAACTTGGGTAACCCAGGCATTGCTTCTCTACAGGTAACTACATGCCTTTATTATTTGGTTAGTAGAAAACATGTTATCATGAAGTGCATATGTGACTTTGACGTTTAAATTGTGTGTTTTTTGTTTTTTTATCAGGTCCAATCGGAGCAGGAAGTGAGTAACAGAGGTAAAATACCTCTATCACATGGTGGAGGAAGTGACTCCACACCAGAAAGCTCTCACCTTCGTCTTGCTACCTCTTCAGAGCCCTCCCACATTTCCCGAATATCAGGAGAAACAATTTCACCTTCATACCAGTCTCCCTTGATGTCCCCTATGGGTCTCACTCACAAGCCAGAAATGTCTCTGCAGAAAGCCTCTCCAGCTTTCCACCTTACTCCTCCGCCAACAGCTTCCCCATCGAGTTCACAACAACCACGGCATGATACAAAGCTGGACCATTCGGGACATCGGCCTATTGACATGGTGCAGCTATTGACGGTAAGAGAACTGACATCAGCAGTGTTGACACATATGGAAAGTAATTTTAGCATGTTAGAAAAACAAATGCTTTCTGTTTTGTTTTGGAAGAAATATCCTATAGTGTGGCAAGGGCTCCTGGCACTGAAAAACGACCAGGCTGCTGTCCAGTTGCACTTTGTGTCTGGCAACACCTTGTTTGCCCAGCGCTGCTTGCCGCCCCCAGAGGGAGGTTCTCTTCTCCGTATTGTTCAGAGGATGAGGCTTGAGGCTTCGCAGTTGGACAGTGTAGCACGCAGAATGACTGTGAGTGTTGATTTTCTCTGAAAATTGAGTATTCGAACTGATTTCCATTAAAAAAAGTGTTCTTAATTAAACATGCCTGATTTAGCGCTAAGCTTTAAAATACAACACAGGTGTTTTGCTTTAAGGTTGTGTTTTTACATATACTAAAATAAAATAACCTATTTATGGCAGATGGAGAATGAGTACTGTTTGCTACTGGCCCTACCCTGTGGTCGAGACCAAGAAGATGTCCTTGGTCAAACCCAAGCCTTGAAAAGTGGCTTCATCACCTACCTGCAAGCCAAGCAGGCAGCTGGCATCATCAACGTGCCCAACCCTGGCTCTAATCAGGTTTATGGTCTTTTGAGCAGTTAAATTAAAATTCTATTAACCTCAAATGCTGTTTCATTAAAATGTTTTTCTTTTCTTTTTTTTAAAACTTTTATATATAGCCAGCTTACGTGGTGCAAATATTCCCACCGTGTGAATTCTCGGAGAGCCATCTATCTCGCCTGGCCCCGGATCTTCTCAACAGCATTTCCAGCATTTCCCCTCACCTCATGATTGTTATTGGCCCTGTTTGATTACCTCTATTTTTGTCCTAAACAAAGCCAACACCAGCCCTTTTTTGGACTTTTACCAGTTCGGAAACTGGAATTGCCTCGTTTTTAAGAGTTTTATTTATAAAAAACAAAAAAAAAACAAAAAAACATTTATGTTGGACTCACATTTTCTCTTTCACTTCACCAAGTCCTTAAATTATCCAGTGATGATGAATTAAAAAAAAAAAAAACTGTACCTTTTTAAACTAGATGTAAAGGCTTGGATGGGGATTTTTGATGATCATTGCAGATTGCCGGGTTTATTTATTTATTTTTTGCCATTTTTTGAAGACGTGCATAGCTTTTTATAACTCATAACATTCATAAAGGTGTGGACGGAGACTTTCTTAACGGGACATTTTTTTACCTTCATAAAAGTGATTGTGATTCTCTTCCTTTTTTTGAGACGATGTGAAAAGTCATTGCACTATGTTAAAAAAAATTGTGAACTCTGTACAGATTTGAACATACACTGAAACATGTCATGGATTTATCCTGGTGATCAGTCATGCTTGTGTTAAAAAAAATTATTATTGCCTATAAAATGATGAAGAATCAGCTTGAGCAATCATAAATGCTTTTCCTGCTTCACCATTCACAAGTTTCCACGTCATCGCAGGCTCCAACGCAAACGACTTGCTGCCTCGGGATCTCGTGATGGTGTTGCCAAATGCCTCGATAGGGGACCGAAAAACAAAAAAGACAATTTCGTTTGTTTATTTTGTTTGCATCTTCTTTAAGCCTAAAGGTATTGTGGACATTTGTGAAATTGTAAATACTGTAAATATTTAAGAAGACTGAAGCAAAATGGAGAGACCAAGCAAATTATTTTACAAGATATGTTTTTTTTTTATGTTGTCAGTGTTATGTTCATGCTTTTTTAAATTTATTTTACTCATTGTTTTTTCCTTTTGACAGGGAATGAATGTTTAAAAATGGGACAAACATTTGTAAAGCAACGACAAACTGTGCCAAAATATGCTCTTTTTTGGGGGCAAATGTTTATGATCAGAACCTATTTTGATGTTTGATTTTGTATTTAGCCATTCAGAGGGCACACTCGATTTCCTTTTTGTGTATTAAAGTAATTCTGTTACTAAAGTACTTTTTATTTTTAGGATCTTTTGTATTGTCTTGTCACTCCCCCATGTGATCCTGTACTGCCCCCTGTTGGAATTATTTTTATTTTTATTATTTTTTTTTATTGAAGATGCATATTTCAGTCACAGATGTTTAACAGCACATTTTATTTTCAAACCCCAAAGGGTAAATAGGATCATAAAAGCAAAGAATGTGACTTAAACTCGACTCCATGCCGCTAATGGATGTTCTTCATCTGTCTCCATCTCTTCCTTTAACCGTCTCCTTGAGCCAAGCTGTAAATATGTCCATCTGTGCTCTTGTGTGTTCTTCTCCCCTTTATGTCTTCAGGATCTTTATTTTTGTTTTGTGCAACAAAACAAAACCGTCTGTCAAAGATGGAAGACGAGGTGTGTGAAACCGATGCTGAAAGTAAAAAAACAAGCTAGTCAGTTTTGTGGTGTAAATATTTTTCTGAAGACACGGTGATGTTGAAGGCACTTATAATTTTTGATATACAAATGAGGGGATAAAAAACAATCTTAAAACAATGATTAAAAAGAAAAACGTCTTTTGATCGATATTCATTTTGAGTGTATTTTGCTGTTCCTCCATGAGGACATTTTAAACTGTAACATAAATGGTTGTTTAACTTCTGAAGATCATTAAATGGTCCATAACTCTGTCTTTTTGTGTTTTATTCAGATTCTTTACAAATGAGCAGGTTTCTATATTGCAGTCCTGCATTGCATCTTCTCTGCAAACTAACATTTTTACGCCTCTACATTAAAATACAACATTTACCATAAATGTCAACAAAATAATTATCAGGCACTGTTTATCTCAATCAGTCGTGCACTTTTTTCAGCAGTCAGAAGAGGTCAGTATGAGACTAAATGCAGCTTTTCACTTTCTACTTAAAAAGCATCAAGATATCAACTACAAGTGTAATTTGTTATTTGTTTTATTTAAAATTCTGCCTTTGTATTAATGTAAGAACAGCATTTAAAAATGATCTATGGCTTAAAATTAACTTTGAACTAATTAAGTTTTAATGGGTGTTTTTTTGAGTCAAGCAGGATGTATCAACTCTGTCATCTCTGAGCAGAAAACTATGGGGTGCCATTTGTAAAGTTACACAGTCAAAAATTAACAGCAATATTTTGGTTTATTTAGCCTTTGATAAGAAAAAAAAGTTTTTTTTTTTTTTTCAAAGTCATATTTTAGACCCCAAGATACTTGAATCTTGGGCTCTTGTTCACGAATGAGGGGAAAATGGAGCGTGAGATCGATAGGCGGATAGGTGCAGCGTCTGCAGTGAAGCGGGCGCTGTACAGGTCTGTCGTGGTGAAGAGAGAGCTGAGTCAAAAGGCGAAGCTCTCAATTTACCGATCGATCTACGTTCCTACCCTCATCTATGGTCACGAGCTTTGGGTTGTGACCGAAAGCATGAGTTCTCAGATACAAGCGGCCAAAATGAGTTTTCTCCGCAGGGTGTCTGGGCTCTCCCTTAGAGACAGGGTGAGAAGCTCGATCATCCGGGAGGGACTCAGAGTAGAGCCGCTGCTTCTCCTCGTCGAGAGGAGCCAGTTGAGGTGGCTTGGGCATCTGTTTAGGATGCCTCCTGGACGCCTCCCTGGTGAGGTGTTCCGGACACGTCCCACCGGGAGGAGGCCCAGAGGAAGACCCAGGACACACTGGAGGGACTATAGTTTCTCGGATGGCCTGGGAACGCCTCAGGATTCCCCCGGAAGAGCTGGCCCAAGTGGCTGGGGAGAGGGAAGTCTGGGCCTCCCTACTTAGGCTGCTACCCCCGCGACCCGACCCCGGATAAGCGGAAGAAAATGGATGGATAGATGGAAAGTCATATTTTTACCATGTTATTCATACATTTATAAAGGTCATGTCCAAACTAAATATTTAATTTACAAGCTAAATATTTAGTTTATAAACTAAGTACTTAACTTGCAAGTTAAAGATTTAGTAAACTAAATATTTAGGTGTAAATTAAATATTTAATTTCTAAGCTTAATATTTATTTTCAAAATTAAACATTTAATTTCCAAACTAAACATTTAATTTCTAAACCAAATATTTAATTTACTAACTAAATGTTTAATTCGAACCTAAATATTTAACTTGTAAGTTAAATATTTATTTTAAAAATAAAGTATTTAGCTTAGAAATTAAATGTTTAGTTTGTAAACTAAATATTTAGCTTGTAAATTAAATATTTATTTGAGAACTATAACATTTATAAATGTATGAATAACATGCTGAAAATATGACATTGAAAAAAAACCCTTTTTTTTTTATGAAAAGCTAAATAAACCCAAATATTGCTGTTAATTTTTAACTGTGTAACTTTACAAATGGCACCCCATAGAATCAAAATTCATGTTAAGTTGACTCATTGACCACAGTTGATTTATGAACCAATTTTAATATTCATGCACAAACACATGTCATAAAAGTAGAGTTGGAGAATTTTAATTGAAAAAAAAAAAGCCAAATTTAAATTTAAATAAATACATGGCCTTTGTTGACTACAGTGATTCGGTGTCGCAAATCATGGAAATTAATGTTTTAAATCAATCATTGTGGAAGTTAATTTGTCTTTTTGTTTTATCCATTTTAATATTTTTACCAATGATAATAATAATGTCATCACAATGTCAGCACTGTATGTTTCCATACAATGGCGAAATTAGTCTCTACATTTAACCCATCCACCACCAGGTGGTGCAGTGGGCAGCTATTGAAAGCGCCCGGGGGACATTTTGGGGATTAGACGTGCTGCCCAGAGACGCCACGTGATGTGCAGTGACTGGGGATCGAACCTGGGACTCTCGGGTCCCAAGCCGGCTGCCCTGCCTTACACCATGTCGGCCCCTCCTCCACTTGTTGCTGAAATGATCTTTTCCATCAGGTTGGTTTTTCTTTTTTTAAATTATGTTTGTAGTTTAAATATCAGCACTTAAACAAGTTAGATCTGCAGACTTGTGACAGCTGATGATTACCGTATTTTCTGGCATATAAGTTGCAGTTTGTGTATAAGTATAATTGCATATAAGTTGCATCTCCGTGGAGATGTGCCATCCATTCATCCACTCATCCATCCATCCATTCATCACGGCTCAGGCTGTGAGCTCTACAGCATTCCTCTGCCACCGGAGCAGGGAGGAAGGGGGCAGTGAGGCGCGTGATCCACGGCAAGGTGCGGGCAGGGGGGACGCTGTAGAACCGTGAACTATCTTCATCCCCACTATGGTGACGGAGCTGGGAGGAACACCGGGAGCAAACATGTCTGTTTGCTCAGGGTCAAAACAGCTTCAGTTCGCCACGCCACCCAGGCGAAACGAAGCTGTTTTGACCATTAAAGTGCATTTATTAAGGAAAAGTTAAACTGAGACACACCTTTGCTATAATGTCAAGCAAAATAATTGTTTTTAAGTGTTAAACTTGTTAAATTTCGAAGAACTGCAACAGCGAGTCCTCACGTGTGCACTCGCTTTACTCAGCTGGTGCAGGCGGAGGAACGCTGGAGAGCTAGCAGCGCTGGCTGTGATGGATGGATAGATGGATGGGTGGTGCTGCGCCGCCCAGGCAAAATGAAGCTGTTTCAACCATTAAACAAACACATAATAAATGCGACTTATGTATGTTTTTTTCCTCTTCGTGATGCTTTTTTGACTGGTGCGACTTATACTCTGGAAAATATGGTATGTTAGAAAATCACATATTCTTAATACTTTTGCACAATTTACCTCCTGCTCTTAAGACTTGCATAGCACTTACGATATAAACTAAATTATTAATGTTATGATGATGCTGCCCTGTTGGCTTCATCGTGCCGTGATCTCCAGCTCTCACTGGAGCGTTTTGCAGCTGAGCGTGAAGCAACTGGGATGAGGATCAGCACCTCCAAGTCTGAGGCCATGGTCCTCCGTCTGAAAAGAGTGAACAGCCCTCTCTGGGTTGGGGGTGAGCTTGGGAGTGCATCAAGTGGAGGAGTTCAAGCATCTCTGGGTTTTGTTCACAAGTAAAAGAATAAAGCATGAGATTGACCGTTGGATCGTTGCAGCTTCCACGGTA